TAATAGATATAAATTTCAATAATTCATTTTTTGACAAAATGCAATATGCATTACAGCATTCCTCAAAAATCACCTATAAAAAGTCAGTGGATCAATGCATTGAATGGCAGGTGTAGAGGTTTTGAAAGAAAAAGATCATATATATGTAGTAAACATTTTGATTCAAAATCCTTTTCAAAGTCAAATAAAAAAGTCAGAAAGATGCCTACCCAACAGTATTTCCTGGTGTGGTATTTGGAAAGGCAAAAACCAAGACAACACAAACTGAGGCAATTAATTTAGTATTTATATATAATAAACAAAGGATTGCTGAAGCAAAATTGATTAATTCAAACCAAATATTAATATACAACACAATAACATTGGCATTTGCCGGCTTACTATCAGATATTTAACAAATAAAACGATAAGGATTTGGTCATTTCCTTATTACATTTTATAAAATGCTATTTTGATTCTAATGGAAAATATGTTTTTTTTGTATTATGGGTTTATTATTATTATTAGGATGCCTTTGTTAAAATGGCTTTTTGTCATAAGAAATACAGAATATAAAGAGTTTCATTACTTTATTGGGCATATATATATATATATATATATATATATATATATATATATATATATATATATATGTATATATATATATAAACTTTTAAATGCAGCTATTTACTTTCAATTTAAAACCATTTTTAGATGTTTTGCTCAATGGATGCCCATCTCATCAAGCAACAGCAAAGGCAATCAAAGTATTATAAGTCCAAAATCACACTGCTGCAGGCAACAATAAGAAAACTTATGAGTGAATGCAATAAATTAAAAAATGAATTAGCTACATACAAAGGTTTTATGCTATATAACCATAGCAAAATGAATTGAAATTTTGACTAACTTTTTGTTTATTTTTGCTTCTAGATAAAAAACTCATACCATTTAAAAGAGTTAACAAAGTATATGATGATAGTTACAAGACTGGTCCTCGTGCATACCAATTTTTAAGAAAAAGTGGACTAACACTGCCACACCCGAGAACATTGAACAAGTAAAATTTTGTTGATCATGATTTTCTATGAACTAGTATATATAAAGAAATGTATACTGATAGCCAAAATCAATCAATCTTAGTTTAGCGTCCAGAAACTCAGTTCCCCTGAGGTAGGACGTTGTTTTCTTTGCCATCAAGTTTTTGCGCCAATTAGGTGATCAGTTGTATTCATTTCATTTAAATTTGGAGCTTTCAAGAGTATAGGATGGGTGGTGAAGTCAATAACATCGACCATCTCATGCGCAGAATGCAGGTTTTTTTTACTTCTAATGTAAACCTCTCCAAAATTCATTTAAAATTTTGCATTAATATGCTGTTACAAATCCCAACAAATATGCAGAAAATGCTTGATTTCAGCCAGAAGAAACATATTTAGCGAATCA